ATTGACAGGAATGTGTGGGAATGTGTTCACCAGATCCTCCGGCTGTAGCAAGTTTATTTTTGCATACTTAGGAACCAGTATGATTATAAAATGTGTAAATTTACCAAAAGTCTGGTTGTCGTATGTATACAACATATTTGCCATCAAATAAAATGGTCTGGAATAAATATTTGAAAATTTAAACAACATATAAAACATTCAACTAATTAATGAGATTAGATTGGTCGAAGGAAACCATAACATGATAATAACACATTCTGAGAGGGATGTCTGTTCGTCTCATGCTTACTCTACGGAGATCAAAGTAAAAATTTGATTAATAGGAACTATAATCTCATTACAGAGAACGAAGACCAATGGACTGAATTAAATTTAATATTGTCTACACCTAGGTCTAATGATTACCGCAAAGTTTTTAAAGATTGTTAAAAATGAAAGAAAAAACTAACCTATTGTGTGCCGAGAGAATGGAAGAACAGTATCGTTGTCCCATACCGTAGAAAAACAGAAGAAATTAAGACGATTCTAAATAAGCATAATATGAGATTTCATTTTCGGTCTAGTGATACCACAAGATCCGTGTTAGTGAAAGTTAAGAGTACACTCCGAAGGGAAGAACAACACAATGTTGTCTATGAGATCAGTTGTTAGAAGTGCCATGCAATATATGTGGGTGAAACATCTGAAAAGTTAAATATAACGTTGAAGAAACACCAAAAATGTTTGAAACATGTTTGCGCAAACTCGGTTGATCTCAATAAATTGGCAAGCAAATCGGCAATAGCTTTACAAGCGTTAGAAACAAGTCGCCAGATCGATTTCGATGGGACCGAAATATGTCAGAAAGTGTTTGTAGCACATAAAGAAATATCAACTGCAGAAGTGATGTATGTATGAGGTAATCAGAACAGCCTAAACAGAAAAGTTGCTATTCAACTAACCACCCCATGGCAAAGTAACTGGACTTCCTCCCTATCCGCCTTGTTTAATTCACATGCAGCATTCATCGAACAGTAAATCATACAAAAATTTTAGCATCACGATTGTGTGGTTGACATGTCACAGTTTACATGTACACTCGAATTTTTAAAAGCATTTATAATTGCTTTTTCATGTACCAAACAGATTATTCATCGAACATAAACTAATAAAAACACAGTTGCACGTATATGCGCAAACGTTCACTAATTTTTCACGTTGTGAGCTTTTCGCGTGATTCACAGCTTACTTGACTTTCGTTGTCTTACATACTAAAGTCAACGTTTGAATGTGATTAGAAAAAATGTTATGCAGACTTGGTTGTATTTACATAGATTCTTCGATAATTTTGATTATTGTTATCATGAGGTAGTCCGGACTAGATAGTTGTAAGAAACGTTGTAATAAATTAAATTTCAATCTTTAAGAACTCCTTTTCAACTATTCCAAATGAGGCGGTATGTACTTAAAACTCCAGCATTTCGAGCGCATTTACGTGATCCCATACAACTACTGAGAAAATGTGTGAGTGAATTTTACTGTAGGAATAAGTACATTTATCGATGCATTTACAGATGTTGTTGGAAAGACACTGATCAACCTGTGAATTATACAACGAACACTTGGTGTTGTAAATAGTGAAACCATTTGAGTCTACATTTACCTGAGGCGGCAGAGACAAAGATAAGGGTCGCTACTGGATTTTCTGAACACATCCTCAGGAGTCTATGATTGAAAGGGAGTAAAGTCTTTAGAAGTGCTATCGCCATACACCCTTCGGACAATGGACATCAAATAAATGTAAGTAATCTATTCAAAATAATCAACAGACAAAAAACACTTCGATTCGCAGAGGCAATCGCTACCAAAACTTTCTGACCTGACCTACATACATAGGAAGTTGTGATCAGCGTTCGACTTTCATGGTGATTGGACGTCTATTTAGTAACCTTTAGTAAATTTAACCTTTCGTCTTCTGATATTCATCTTTTAAGTAATTTTATTAATATTCACATATTTGTTTATTTTGGCATTTTGAGTGATAAGTTAATCACTCATTAATTTCATTACGCTTATGCAACCTATTTTATCTCGATTGTGATTACTAGTAACCATTACCACATGAATTCTTAAAAACATTACTACTTTTCAAAACATCGGTTTTAATAACGTTTATGCATACTCAATGTACCGCTATTATTAATACGACGATTCAGGTTACAACTCAAACATTTATCAAATCTTGTCAAGCTGAAGTGGGCTAAACATTTGTGAATAGTTAAATTGCTAAATGTGAATTAAGGTTGTATCCAGCTCATGATTAATCATGAATTTACATTGTTCTACAAAACCTTTTCTTCTTGCTGTTTATAATTATCAAGACAACTGGATGTATGAAACATAAACAGTTGCTAATAGAATGATAAAACAGCGAATGAGTTGTGGTGATAACCCACCTAGAACCCTTTTAAAGTAACTGCAACCCACAGAAAGGAGCAGGGTTGGGCATGGAGTTAGAAACGTCATTCCACAGAGAACATCTTTGCTAATAAACGGCACCCAGAAACAAATATTCAAACCAATCAAACTCTGCCATAGGAGTTAGGTCTTCATTTACAAGATTTATGACGTTTCATGGTATAAGCCAAGATTCTGTAGGCATCATATTCCCACACAAGTGTATACACAAAGCGATATGGATTTCATCGGGTTACCGTACACTGAACCAAATCGACCATATCTACATCGATAAAAAGTTCAGAATGGTGGAATCGGCATGGCCATCAAACAAATCAAAAGTGGTAGAGCGGAAGAAGCACACAACATACCAGATGAGGCCCTGAAAGCAGACATAACAGTAATTGGAAAGCTGTTCCATGCTCTTTTCAGTAAGATTTGAGATAAAGGGCGAGTACCAACAAACTGGAAAGAATACCTCATGAAGATGCCAGAGGAAGGAGACACCAGCAATGTGAGGACTACAGAGGCATTGCTCCATTATCAATACTGGGGAAAGTCTCCAACAGAGTGTTATCAAACAGAATGAAGCACTCTGTAGACTCTCAACTTCGAGATCAGCAGGCTGGATTCTGTAGGGGTCGATCGAGTACCGACCAAAGTGAAACATTACGGATCATTGTGGAACAATCAACTGAATGGAATTCATTGATTTACATCAACCTCCTTGATGTTGAGAAATCATTTAACATCGTCGATAGGATAATAATGTGGAACATTCTTCAAAACTTTGGTGTCCGTGAGAATTTTGTGAGCCCCTGATAGAATGATTCTGGTGGACTAAGCTGAATAATCGTGCTTGTATGGGTGGTCATTGAATCGTTCGGTGTGAACACCGTTGTAAGGTAGTTTGCATACCGATATCCTTTTTCTTGATGAGCAATGTGGATTTCAAACATGATTTAACGTATCTGTTTGGCAAAGCAGAGGCATCGTTCCTGTCTGCAAAGAACATCTGTGACTCAAAACAACTATTAATCAACAACAAATTCACAATTTTGAATTCAGTTGCCATCACAGTCTTCTTTGTGCGTTGGAACTTTCAGAACCACGAAAGCCATCATTCGGAATATGCAGGTGTTAGTTAACAACTGAGAATCGGTCGGTCAGATACCTTTAGCAACTACCTACTGTGGGAGAGAACAAACCAGGTTCCAGCAGAGGATGAAGACTGGAAGTGGATTGGATACACATTGAGGAAAGCATCAACCTGCGTCACCAGACAAGCCCTCAATTATAATCTCCAAGGTCAAAGAAAATGGGGAAGACCCAAAGACACGTTACTCTGAGAAATGGAGACAGACATGAGAATAATGAAGAACAATTGGATAGAACTAGAAAGAAATGCCCAGGATAGGGTAGGTTGAAAAATCGTTAATAATCTGAACAGAATCAGTACAAGGAAAATCAGAAATTTTAGAAGCCTGGGGTTTAGATCACTAAATAACCAATCGAAATGGATACAATTTACCAGTCAGTAGAATAATTGTTAAAGAACTAAGGATGATCATGGAAAAAGTCAATCAAAACTAATGTGTAAACAGTGACAGAATAATAATTGACGACCATCAATCATGTATGGTGTTGAAAGAACAATCTATTAGTCACTTGTAGATAGACCGCTGTTTGTGTGCTCGCAAATTCTAATCCTCAGAATTTCTCATCATCTCTATCTTTCTCTTTCTAAAATCATCTCACTGAACCATACTTTTCTGAAAATATCTTCGATCCCTAATATTCTTTATTACTAGTAATTCTTCCACTATCTCCACCACTATGGGATTTTAACTGACAGTGGCGTCTCTGTGGTAATGCGGTGTGGCATCCTAAAGTGACGTACATTGTAATTGACTGACACTTGTAGATAGACCCTAATAACTCACTTTATTTAAATGTATCGGCTAATGACCTTCAGGGCTATGATGTAAGCTCTCCTATCAAACTAACCTGTTCAGAGAACTCAAAAGAACTTCGAAAGCATCCATGTTGTTTACAAATCATCACCATTGCTTAGTAACCATCTGCCACTGTTATTAGCCTCTGCAGTAGTGATGGAATTTATGAGCAAACATCTGTAAACACTGCTCCGTTCATTAAAGGGAATAATTGTTCAATAAGACAATCTTTTACTAAATCATCAATTCATAGCCGACTGTTTTCAGCTAATAGATTAGTCTGATTGATTAATTCAGACTTTTTGTTAAATACAATCGGATCTTAGCTAATCTCTGCTTAGGAACCAATTATGACCCTACAGTATTTTGTGAAATCATTAGAATAAACTGAGCTTAGAAATGCTAATGTTTTAATTGAAATAATCAAACTTGAGAAGAGTAAACAGTAACTGCAGTTTTGCATTTTTCCTGTCTTATGGCTTCAATAACCTTTAATTAAATCAGTATTTGTTATAAGTAACATTGAGAAAGTATTCCTTATTGGTTTCCTTTCCAAAATAAAAATATTTGACTCGTATTGTATTTATTTAATCAATTTTTGAAATATAGGATTAGATATAGACCCCACTGGTGGAGTTTTCGGTTCATCATTACCGATTAATTTAGCTTTAGATCCTCAGAGAGAGTTGATTGTTGCTTTTCAAATGAATAATAAACCATTAACTCGGGATCATGGTTTCCCATTGAGAATTATTATACCTGGTTCTATTGGAGCTCGTCAAGTTAAATGGTTAGATCAAGTAAGTAATTTGTAAATGGACAGAAAACAGCTTATCTTCTCTTTCATTCATCTTACATTCTACTCAAAAACTGTCATTGCTACATGCATACAATTAAGCAAGAGGTTTGTCGAATTTCTGATCATTTTACATTAGCGGTAGTCAAAAGAGATGCGTATAGTGAATTAATATCGCTCATTTATCATGGACTAGACGTTTAATTTATCTGAGTAAAGTATTTGTAAACCACTCACTGTATATTACAAAGTTTAGGCCACCTGGACTTTTCGCAAGCAAACTGTATTAAAAAAAGGTTGGTGCAACTATTTCGACTGTCTTGTTAACGTCATAATTCAATCCTCATATGATAATCCTGTGTGTGTAAACCTACATTTTTTTAGTGTTTATTCTTATATGACCATTGTTAATATTTAATCATCTTGTAAAACTTTACACTTCTCTTAGTAATTATCGTCAGATAGTATATTTTTACATGCTAACATAGTTCGAAAG